GTGTCTACATGGACATCATGAGATGAAAGAATTCTGATGAAAGGTGTCTACATGGACATCATGAGATGAAGGAGTTCTGATGAAAGGCGTCTACATGGGCATCATGAGATGAAAGAATTCTGATGAAAACAGTGTTTACGTGGACATCATGGGATGGAAGAATTCCAATTATAGTAATGTCTACAAGGACATCATGGAAAAGAGAATTGTAATTAGTGTCTATATGGACATCATGGGATGTTAACATTTTCCTACACTGAAAATTTATTTCCGATAGATATCTTCAAAACTACTGCCCTCTATTTGTGAAAAGTTTTGCTCGCCACTAGCCTTCTGCTCTAACCTACATCTACATGTTTGCATGTGTTAGAGCGGCATTGTACCATGCAAATAAGCATGTGATAACCCTCCACCAATAGGAGTGCAACACACCCTCCTAGCACAGCTGACTCCCTCTATACTGTAGAACCCAATCTTCACTTTGAGATTAGACCAAATGGAAGGATAGGTGGGAAGTGTGAGAAGTGGTAAGTATCTATCAGGTATACATTTTCAGTGCAGGAAAATGTTAACTTCTGAGATGATAACTTACCCTACATAATAGTGAGAATCTCACATTGTAATGGTGTAGAGGCTAGTGCAAAATTACCTGAATGAGCACCCTTCGAAAAGCATTTGAAGAGAGCCCATGGAGGACCACACCACATCTTTACTAGGTATTATCCTTGCCCATCGTGAAGATATGTCTCACTAAATGGGCAGAAAAAGATGTGCATCCAAAAGAAACTCAATGGTGTAGAATGGCTAAGGTGCAGCAGACCATAATCAGTGGGTCAACTCCAGTCCAAATCTAGGTGGTGCCAGAAATGGATTGCCTGAGTCATGGTAGGAGGAGGGCCCCTAAAGTCTTCACCTCAAACCTAGGAATCAAAAGGGAAAGAGGACTTCCATTCCAAAAACCAAGGTCAGCACATGCATGTAAATGCACTACAAAATCAATACCAGCCACCTGGAAACCTGACATCCAGGTGATGGTAGGAAGGTCAACTCCAGTCCAAAACCATTCAGCATTGGGAATGTATCATCCAGTCTGATGTAGGAGGAGAGTCCCGGGTTAAACTCCGTGAGAGGACTTAAGGTGGCTGGTCCAGCTTCAACCAACACACCCAGGAACAGACATCCAGGCAGCAGTAGAAAGGAAGGTTCTGGTTCCCAGCTAGAGGGTTGAACTGCATGTGGTGGATTCAACCAGTCCAAAATTAACAGGCATCTAAATTTGTACATCAGGTCTGCAAAAGGAGAAGAGTACACACCATCTATACCAGCAGGACACCGCCACTATACTCTCACAACTGAGTGTAATTGAGCACACTCAGGAGGAAGCTCCTATCCACCACCCGAGAGGCTAGGAGCTGGTAAGTGGTAAGAACTCCCATACTCCACTAGGAGAGTGGGGAGATGGTGCGGTTGGGAGTTTGGAGGAATGCAACACCAGAGAAAGTGCAATGGGTGACAATGGAACCTTATTTTGAAAAGCAGGCCGAACCCAATGTATGCAACCAGGAACAGAGGGATGGGCAGCAATCCCTTCTCTGCTTTACTCATGATAGTCCACAAATTGGTATGGTCTGGAACAGGCATATTTATGACTCAATATCATACAAGGATGAACCTACTAATGGTCTTGCAAAACACCCCATCTCAATGGTGGGTGTTATAGACCTTAAAGGCCATACAGTGCAGATTTAAATGGATGGATCAGCTCCCCTCTAAAACCAGATTACTTCGGAACCAACATCCAGGAAGTGGTAGGATAGGAGTTCTTCAGCTGAATAGTATACGTTGACAGGCATCACTTGGCACTGAGGAGGATCCTATTTTAAGCATAGGACCACTGTAAGAGAAGGAAATAAATGAAAACTTATCCATTCAAAGTTGAAGTGGGGTGTGTAGTATGGCAATGAGCAGAAGTTGGTATTCAAAGGAGGAGATGGCGAAATGCAAAATATATGTGTGATGAAAGTGTGTGGTCTGGTCCACCTGCCAGCCTGGAAAATCACCACCAACAGATGACAGAAGGAAGCAGCCAGGGATAGAACAGGACAACAGATATGGTACACGGAAACAATGAACATATGATGGGAAACAAAAGATAAGGAAGAATAAGACAATTAAATGAGTTGGCAAATCCAACTGGTAAGAATCACAGGAGAAAGAAGGATTCCAATGGAATAGGATGTGGGAACTGTAATTGAGGAAGAAAGTTCTGCATGCAAGTTAATACCAGAGAGTATGAAACAAATAGAGAAGATGATCTGGATCATAATAGGAATACAAATGAGAAATATAAAGGAGGAATACCAGTATGAAATTGACAATATCTTCATGAGCTGCTGAGGTCTTGGGAAGGAGAACAGGATGGAAACAGATATAAGATATGTTGAAAGTGAACACATCCAGCCTACAATAGCCACCAGCTAAAATAGGAACAAAGTACGTGGTATAAGGAACAGGAAGTCAATGGTTCAAAATGTGGCTGAGTAAGGGCATGGAGAATGACATTGAAATTCCATTCTTGAATGACAAGACGGTAAAAAGAAATGGAGGAGACAAAAAGGACGTAAACAAAAGGGATATTATATGAGAGGAAAAAACAACAGGAATGGGAAAAAGAAAGGTAGAGGATAAGGCCACCTCATAGTCTGCAATGAAACAGCCAATGAAATATGGAATGGTGAGGAAAGCAAGGAATTGATGGAAAGTAACCATGAAGTACAGACCAATGACAGAATATGTCATTGTCTCTTAAAAACCATCAAGAAAGGAGGGAGGACTGAATGGGAGATAGTGTCTGTCACTCGTGCAGAATATCTGTATCAACCACAAGAACCACAAAAAGTCAGAGTGCAGGTGAGGCAAGATGAAACACATAAATAATACCATAGGTAGAAGTAAGAAGAAGAGTGAATGGAGGAAATGGCCGAAGCAGTGGAAGAACAGGGAACAAAAGCTGTGCAGGAAAGAATGGGACTATGAAAAGGACCCAAAACAGTGTGGTTTGGATGACAGGCAAAACCTGGGAAAGGGGACAGACAGGAGGGTAGGCATACCTGTAATCGTTGGTCCAATCCAGACTGAAGGCATTCACCTTGTCGAGATGGGTCATGGGTGAAAGGCCATGTCATCTTGTTTGTTGACTCGCATTCAAAATTTTACTACACTACCATTTCATGAATTTATGTCAATAAATTTGGTATCAAACTGTAGATTATAATTCAAATTTTAGTACTATATATTACTCCATTTCTTAATTTAAAAGTAAATATTAAAATAATTCAGATAAACATCGGTTTTTGTGTGTCATGTGTTATGTTGAATGCAGTACTGGTTCAAATTAAATGTTTGTAAAGTCAAAATACTAAGTCTATAGCCTCGTACAAATTATAAACTCAAATTACAAATATTGATAAGCTATAATATAAAATAAGAACATCTTATCTTTTCTATTTTCTAAGATATTGCTCATGTTATAAATCAAACACAGTGGCACCCCACCCACCTCTTTCCATTTTTGGGAATGCTCCTTTATATACACTTACTTCTATATATAGCAGTGGTAGGCTAAATCATGAAGTTCTGAGAAGGTGTCAGTTAAGGCCTAACTGTTCCTTCATGTAACTGAGAAGTAAACCTTCCAGCATGAACCACAATATCCATGTATGGAGAAAAAAGTAAGGTGCAGGCTCAAAAGCAACCATGAAAAAAGCCCAAAACATCACACACTGTAAGTAGTAACAGAAGAAAAGCAAAACAAAAGCAACTTTTCCCAATGTGGCCTCCTTATCGTTTTTCATATGTCATTTAAACACTGTGTTGATTACTGTTGATTGGAACAGGTTTTTGTGAGGCAACATTGTTTTGTTAGAGCAAAGCAATTTTGGGTCATCTGCCACATCCACCCTAGGGAATCAAACCTCGGACCCAAGCGCTGCGAGTTCATAAACATACCATTGTCCCACAGGGGGACTGAAATCCAACAGACTAAAAGAAGGCACAGAAAAAAGCAAATTTAAAATCTCTCCAAAATGTTGATGATTGCCCTCAATTGCAGTCTCAGATCCCCCCAGAGGGGACCACCACAAATTCGAATATATGTCTACATTTCACTACAAATAAGATCACTGACAGTCTCAATGGTAATTTGAGTTTATAATTCATATGAAACTATAGACTTATTCTTCTGACATCACAAACATCTAATTTGAACCAGTGCTGCATTCAACATAACACGTGGCACACAAAAATCAATGTTTAACTGTTTTTTAATATTTACTCTTTCAAATTAAGAAATTGAGTAATATATAACACTAAAATTTGAATTATAATCCTCAGTTTGATACCAAAGTTATTGACATAAATTTATGAAATAGTAATTCAATAAAATTTTTAACGTGAGTCAACAAATGCGATGACATGGCCTTTAACCCATGACCCATCTGGAAAAGGTCAAAATACAATTAACAATTTCAAATTTTAATACAAGTTTAAAAATATTTAAAGAATCCTCCATCTCCCCTAGCATGAGAATTGTGACATTTGTTCTCTAGATGTTACCAAGTTTATTTACCATCAGTCTGAGAAATACAGAATTTAACATATATTACATCACTATAATACAGATATTATTAAGACAAAGCACAATTTTCACAGCCTTCAATTTTATTTGTTTACAGTAATAAACTAGTAAATCAGATCCACTTGTCACGCCCATCTGTCACATCCTCTCTTTCACAAAGTTCCAAAAGTTCTTTCCAGCATTTTATACAATATTATTTATAACCAATAGAAAGCCAAAGTTTTAATCTATCAAATGAAATATTATATCACATTGTTTTCTTTACAAAGCACTGTCTATTTCACCTTCAGTTTGAATGTTTTCTCATGGTATTCACATCGACAAGCTTAGATGAATTTTCTTATCACATAATTAGAAAAACAGATAAATTATGATAGTTATAGGACATTGCTTTGTGCAGGATATTATTTGGTGTTTTTTTAGGTGCATCACTCAATTAATTCTTTTAGTATTACCTCAGTGGATTACACTGACCACATGACCTCCAAAGTGCCCAGAGTTTCCTACTATAACTGTGAACGTATCTTTATGAAACTTTTCAAGCTTTGCAAGTCTTTAGTAGACAAAAATAATAATCTAAACTTATTTCTATTAAAAATCTGGCCGTGAATATTTGGAGTCACAGTGTTGACTGCTCCAAGTGCCAAGTGATTTTCATGTTAATATTAAAAATATTTTTGGACAGTTGTCAAAAAAAAGGTAAGCAATAAACCTGGAACTGAAGAAATATGTGAATTATCCACAAATGATTCAAAGGAAAACATCTCCCAGATGCAAGCTCCAAGCTAAGATGCGTTAGGAGATAAATTCAGCCTGGAAATTAAAAAGTAAATAAAACCATGATGTAAATTCCAGTATATTTGATACATATATTCATGAAAAGGATGATTGGAATCTGTTCACTTAAGTGTTCCCCTGCTATTTTTATCCTTTTCTGCAAACTAATCTTGTTACCATCCTGTTCTTCATAAGTAGCAAGATTAAAATTTCAGACAAGAGTTTAGAACATTGTAAAGTGTGCAACAAAATTATGTTATGTGATGGGAAAGCACTCCCATATATATACACACATCTACCAATGAAATAAAGCATTTTGAAAATGTAAAGAAAAAACACACCTTTTCTCATTCATATATAAATATTAAATCTAGTTATTGTACATAAAGATACTATACTTTCCTATCAGATACTGTACTAGAGACTGAACTAACACTCCAACTGTGATGGCAAAGCAATGGGAGTTTCATTTTGGAACTCAAAGTATGCATACGAGTGAAAACAAAACTGTGTTTACTTAGACATTTATCAGGATGTTTTTCACAGTGTACAATCAACAGAACCATTTCATTTGTGATATAGATAATGAAATTAACAAAAAAAAACAACAACATAAATCACTTTTGGGTGACCATTCTACGTTAAACACTGCTTAAAATGTCATATCATTTCTGAAGTCACGAACTGGAAACACATGTTTAACTTAAATTTTACATTATTGTCTTATTTGAATCCTCACCTTCATCATTTCCCTAGACAAATCATGCATGGTTTTAGCTACTTCAGGAACTTTAATCAAGTTCTGCATGCTCTTCATAATTTCTGTACTCCTCTGGAGGGATCCAGAAACTCTCAGGGTTGCTTTAGCAATACATCAAACATCTTAAATACATTTAAGTACATATGTTGAAAGTTAAAAATGAGAAGGGTAGTGAGGTTTTATTAACTCCAGGAAATCAACAGGAGACACTATTTCATACATGTTAAAATGGGATGGAATTGTGTTATGTGAAAAACGTTTTTTTTCTTATCAAAGAATGAGTGCTGAATAGAATTAATTTGTATTAATGTATTTTATATTTTTCATAAAAAATAACATGTATACACGTTTTTAACATCATAAATACTTTTTTGATATTAATAGTGTCAGAAAACATTCTCAAATGAATTGTATTTTAAAATCAAACACTAAAAGACGGCCAATGAGCAACAGTCAATAATAATAACAAAGCAATCGTCAAATATTGTTTTTACGATACACATTTGTTAAATACAATATGTCACTAAGATGATATAAAAAGTAAACATCATTAATGTCAAATCCAGTAAAATAAAAAAAGAAGCCATGAGAAAAAATAGTTAATCCACCAATAAAAAAAATAATAATATAGTGAGTAAAATTATGGTTGAGTTGAGTACTAAGTGACAATCCCAGGGGTTGTGCCAATGGGCATTAACCTCTGAAGTGGAGGCTGGCTGATATTACCAAAGGCTGTATATTTATTCTTTTCATTCCCCATCTTTTGCCTTTCCTAGCTACACAGTTATTGGGCTTTGTTTTCCATCTGAACATTGATAAAAACTTGTGGTTGCCATTTTCACCTTACTAGTGTAAAGAAGGTTGATATCCTACCAGTAGTAGTAAAAGATGTGATATGGAGGCTTCTCTTGTTAGCTTTATTCCAGCATGGCCTGGAACATACGGCCAAATGATGGTCTTACTATGTAGTTGTTTTGCTTTCTGTCATCAATCAGGTAACCAACCACTTTAAAGTTTATGTAGTACTTCCTACAAGTTAGTCTATTTGGGACTCTTTACATTAAGCAATCCAGAGGAGACCTTACATTATGGTTTTTAATTCCATCCTTCAGTTACTTTGGGGAAGCTTGAATGCCCCACTAGCTTTATTGTTCCCCGAGACAATGAATGCCTTAACAGCTCTCTCGCTACTTGTAATGTAGGAACAATATATATAATGATAGGTGATTGTCCATTGAGGTCTGTAAATAGGTGCTCCAGTCTACAAACTAAAGCTAAAAGATAACATGGTTAAGCAGAAAAAACTCTGGTATTAAATTTCAATTTCTTTTGAACATTATCAATGATGCATAAAGCTTACCCAGCTGATGATTCATGCTCATCATCACTGAATTCAACTGGGCCTTAGTAACATGTATTCGTCCAACAGCCTTTCGAGCCCGAAGAACTTCTTTTGCTAAAATTGTGCAAACATCTCGGTCTCCTTTTTTAGCAGCATCTTTCAGTGATCTTTTTACTTTTTCTTCCTCCCTTTGGATAGCTAAGGTAAAACATATACATCGCAACTTAAAAGTTTCAGGAAAAATATTTTTACTTTTTATATATTAGCAATCCTTGAGAAACATGTTTCTGTCGTAGTACAATGACAGACAGATTTAATGAACAAACATACAGACTGAAAATTATTTTTTTTACTTTAAAGAAATAAAGGCATAGTTTATTAACCGAGATATATAAAAAAAGTTTATTTTAGCCAACATTTTTCCACCACATCTTAACGACAAGACTAAAATGTGTTTTTGGTATACAGAAAAACAACATTTTTATTTAAATGGATGTTGAAATAAAATGCTCTTTTAACAGGAGTGAGAGGTCATTTTTATTTTACATAAAAACACCATTTAAAATTAAAACACACCAAGCTATATGAAATTTTATAACAGTTACCTTGAAACAATCTTGGCAACAAATTTATAAAATAATAAATTTATTTTTTTCTCACCACCAAAAATGTAAACCTCGAAAGGAAAGGGCATGAAGCTCCCTCTATGATTACCACTTGTGACTTAGTTAAGACTAACTTCCAAAGATCCCACTGTCATTAGTAGCCCTGAAGTCTGATAACTATTCTGGAATGATGTTCTAGAAAATAGGTTTACTGTCCAGTCTTGGCAACTGTGTTTTGAAATATATTCTTTAAATTAGATACCCTAGCCACATAAAAAAGGTTGGAATAACCATGGTGGAGCATCCATTATATTACACTGGAGTCCCATTTGGCTTTTCTGTTGAGGCTGTAATTATGCCACGACTTTTCTGAATGTGATTTCCATCTAATATTTACAATAATGACTGGTTTTAGAATACGTCTCAAAAACATTTATTTTTGCAATCTTACTTTTTTTACTATTGTGTGAATTTAAAACTTTCATGTACTATATTGAATGTTATTGTGAAAAAAAAGCCTGGTCCATTATTCAAACTAAGGATCCTGCAATTGAGCCAACGGCCTTAAAACTTCATCTTCAAATTTCTGACTTCACCCACCATAATAGAGACAATAAACAGTATCCGAGGTCTCGGTTTCCAAACGTTCAACGAAAGACAACCAATTTGACGTCTCACTCCTTTGTGAGTGTATATTGCATACTGGAGGATACCACATCATCTACAGGCTACAGAACATCACCACTCTACTCTGCAATGAATATTATAGCCATCTTTGTGTGGAACCCATTCAGGACTTGGAACTGGCAAGTGGTAAGGACTTCCATACTCCACTAGAAGAAAGGAGGTGAAAAGACGGTGGAAAGTCTGGAAGAACATCATCACCTGAGACAGTGTAACAGGTGACCTCGAAACCCTATTTTGAATAGAAGACCATACCAATTTATTCAATACAAGGCATGGCAGGGATGGGCAGCTATTCTCTTGCAAATTTCTGAAGCAATTACTTATAGAATTTATTCATATATGAGCAATCCTGTGGAACACCCCATTTTTATAGTGAACATTGCGAAGCCATGGAAGATAAAGTACATGGTTGTACAGTGTGGATTTCAAATTGAAGAATACCTGATCAGGCACCACTCATCACAGAGTGGGATCCATATAATGAGGAAATGAAACAAGGGCCTCTGAAATGAAAAGAAAGTATGAATATAAATTTACCCAGTCAAAGTCGCACTGAGGCCTGAAGAATGGCCACAGGTGGAAGACTTAAACTCAATGAAGAACTACAGTATGGTATAAATAATGGGAGACAAGTTTATTAGGTGTAATCCACATGCTCAACTGTAGGATTTCCTCCAATGGCTGACAAAGATAAGACACAAGGGAAAAGGTGAGGTGTCCAATTTGATGAGAAGACACCTTGAATAAATTCTGGGAGAAAGAAGACATGGGGGAATAAGCTAAATGAACCAATGGTGAGGGTATAAGGGGAAAAATCCCAACCAGAGGAAGACTGCCAAGGGATAAGAAGTTGGGAACGGGTACCAAGGAAGGAAGACGTGTGGCCAACATAACAAAGGAGAGCATCGACCAGACATAGAAGTCTATCTGAATCAGGTTGAGGGTAGAGATGAGAAATAGAAGGAAGGAACATAGGTAACAAGCAGGAGTGACCCTCAACAATTGGCAAAGTCTTTGGGAGGAAGGAATGATCTGGATAAAGGAGAAGATAGGTATGGTGGTAAAGCAAAAATGAAACATCAATGGCAAACAAATCAGACCTTTGACATCCACAGTCCAAGAGGTGAAAGGAAAAGTGAAACAAGAAAAACGAGGAAAGTGGTTCAAAATGAGGTAAAGCGAGGGAACTGAGGAACACATTAATATCCCAATCTGAAAGAGCAGGCCATCTGGGGAGGGGGGTGATGAATCCAGAAGGAATGCATTAACATGGGAAGGACAAGGGAAGCAACAACTTGATGGTAGCAGGAAAAATAAAAGGTATGGGATAATGCAGTCCAATAACCCAAGAGTGAGAAGACCTCTGGTAGAAAAGCCATGTGAGAAACTCCACCACTCAAGCCACAGTAGATCGGTCAGCTGGGAATCCCTGAGCCATAGACCAACTGCAGAATACCTTCCATTTGCACTGATACACCTCTATTTAAGAAGGATATATGGAACGAGCTAAAATGAAAGTTGCTAGATGGGATAAACCTGATCTCCTTGTCCAGGACTGGGTAAAATTCAGGCATGAAGATGAAGGAAGTGAATGGCTCAATGTAGAACCAGTAATCGATGTTGACAAAGAAGGAAGGCAGACAAAGGAAGAAGTACTGGGGGAAATTTGCAGTTGATGTAATTATGGAAATCACGTTTGAGCGACCAGGAGGACTTGACACGGAGTGGTATGGATGAGGGAAATCTCCTAATGAAGTAATCAGATAGGAGGAAGAACAAAGGAATTTGTGGGACCAATCCTGGTTGAAGCCATCGACTGTCAGAAGCTGAGGATGAGATACCAGAGACCAAAAAAAAAGGAGTAACTTGTAATTGAGGTAGGTGGCAAATGTATCAACATGGGGAAAACACCACCAATTATAAAGCCCCTACAAAACAAGAGGATTTAAAGACTACTCGTTCAGATAAAGTTGGTTGGAGCAGGAAAGATGATCTGCTATGAGATTGAAAGCACCTAGAATATGTTGCATGTGGGCCCAATAATGTAGATCCAATGTCAAAAAACAGAGGTCTCTACTGGGTGCCCCCCTTGGTGATTGGTATGTGGTACCACTGTGGAATTGTCAGAATGAATCATCACCATCTGGTGAGAGGAAGGAAGTGATTCAAAGCCCGACAGAATGCGAGAAGCTCGAGGACATTGACATGCAAAAATCTCTCATCTACAGACAAACAACATGAAGCTTCCTGGTGATTGACCCATACACCTCAGTTCTGAAGGAATGTGTCCATGAAAAGATGTAAATCTAGATGAGGAGAAGGAAGTGGGATGCCCCCTGATGTATGGGCCTTGTCCAACCACCAATTCAGATAATTCAACAGGGTAACAGGAACTGATAAGGGATCCAAAGCAAGGTACCATTGATTGTGAAGAGGGGGACCAGTGACATCATTGAATACCATATCCCCAAAAGTGAGAGAACCCCACAAGCAGAAAGTGAGGGAGCTGACAGGGCATGGGAAACTATCAATTCCAGGGAAGGAAGTCGTAAAGGAGAAGGTTGAGCGTGGCTTATATGAGAGTTGAAAAAGACATTCAAATGGACAAAATATTGTGTAGGTTGGAGGAAGGATTTCTCAAGTTGATTAACCAGCCCACCCGAGTAGCCACTAGAAGGAGCTGACAAATATGGGTGGCTGACTCCAGTTTGAAACAAACAAGAAGAAGCTAGTCATCCATATACTGGTGGAATCGCAACCCCAGAGCATAAATAAGGTGATAAAAATCTCTGACCACCCAAAAGAAAACATAAGGGGTACAAGCAAGCCTGATGGGTGGGGCACAAAATTGATAAACCACTCCGTGATGGACAAACCAAAGATACAGACGAGACTATGGTGATTTAGGGATGTGGAGATAACCACTGACTGGTAGTTGAACAAAGTGACTGAGACACGATAAACTGATGACAGGCTTCCAGTCCCCAGTTTTCTTGGGAACTACAAAGATTCTGGAATAAAAACCTGATGAAGGATGTGAAACAGACTTGATAGCCTGCTGAGATAGTAGTTCTTGAACTGCCTCTGACAGATGCTGGCTGGCCTTGGTATCCAAGGCAGAGGGAAGGAAATGGGTATAGGAGACATGAGAGGTGGGGATAGCAATGGGATCACGAATCCTTCTGACAAAACTGGAAGAATCCATTGATCCTTGACAAATTACACCAGTGAGGAAGAAAATTGGCAGACCAAGTTCCCACCAGACCAGAACCTACCGGGTGGTCACCAATACTGTTAGCGACGTGAAGAGTGTTATCAAAGAAAACGACGAGAAGAGGCACCCTGGGAAGAAGGGACAGGTAAGAGTTGGGAAGGGGGGGTGCCATATTGGGCTCTGGCTGAGATAAATGGCCAACAAAGTTAGAAAGAGCAGACTGTTGTTGTACCTATGCAACCCGTGATTCCAAAGACTCAGGGATGGTGTTAAAGATGTATCACAGAAACTGGGCCATACATAAATCCCAAAGATAAGATGGTAAATGGATGCAAGTTAAGGTTGCATCACGACCTAGAAGGTCCCAACAACAGAGAAACCACTTATGTAAAGCCAGAGCTGAAGATGACAAATAAGTCAAAGTGGAGGGAAAAAGGATGATAATGTCCACAGAAAACCTTTCAGGATTTCGGTGTAGAGCCTCAGAGAGGAGTTGATTGATAGAAAGATACCATAAGAGTTGTAAAGTAAAACTAAGGTGAGAAAATTGGGCATGGGTCAGAATTACAGGAGATTTAGGGGCCAAACCCCAAACAGGCAAAATGGAACCTAACAATTGTTGGTTCAGAAAGAGACAGCAGCCCGATGATATGCAAGAAAAGCCCATGGGGCAAGGCATGCTAATCCCATCACTTCATTGTGAGGCTAAGTAGTCAGCATGTACCCTAATATTTAGGGAGGGAGGAAAACCAAATAGGGCTGGGAAGATTGGACATGGAGTATGGAAGGATGTGGTTCACAGGAAATAGGGGAAAAGGATAAGAGTCACATATGTGAGAAACAAAATCCAAAAAAACCATGTTAAGATTAACTGGCTTCTCAGGCAGGGCATGGGAAGGCACTGCAAAATCAGGAGGTGGAAACAGGCAATCTAAGTAAATGTCTGCCTGAATAGGCTCAGATTGTTCAGGAGGAAGTGGGACAAGGTCTCGAGACAAAGGTTGACCAACGTACCATTCAATCTCCTGGCAAATAAACACGGATAAATCCCCTGCCTGGTTGCCCACACTTGAAGCCTGAGACATAGTGCTATTTGTGTGACCCCCGAAATGATAACTTGAGCTTTGGAATTCATAATGAGGAAAAGTCAACCAAGAATCAAAATTATTGAGAACAATGTGACTGTAATAAACTGGGATTAAATTTAAGTTCAGAAATGGTCATAATAAAAACTAGAAGGGAGAATAAATGAAGAACAATTCGTAAGTATACTAAAGACAAATGTGAAACATTAAACAAGCAAAAAGAAAAACGTCAGAGCACAGGTGCTGCCAAACAAGAAGTGGTAGTTTGGTAGAGGAGTATAGTTTGTCTGTTTGTTTTGAATTTTGCACAAAGCTACACGAGGGCTATCTTCATTAGCTGTCCCTAATTTAGCAGTGTAAGACCAGACGGAAGGCAGCTAGTCATCACCACCCACCACCAACTCTTGGGCTACTCTTTTGCCAATGAATAGTGGGATTCACCGTCATATTATAATGCCCCCACGGCTGAAAGGGCAAGCATATTTGGTGGGATGGGGATTCGAACCCGTGACCCGCAGACTGCGAATCGAGCTCCTTAACCACCTGGCTATGCAGGGCCTAGAGGTGTTTAGAGGGAGTCACATTCATCATGCGAATATGTCATGCTCCTATTGATGGAGAAGTGATGCATGATGATTTACATGATAGTAATATTGTAATCATTCAATTCCAATAGGGGAGCAGAAGGCTTGTGGCATGCATAAAGAAAAATATTTGGTTATAGAGGGCAACACTGGACTAGAATAGCTGATCCTGAATGGAGGAAAGTACCCTATCAGAATGTCATATACCTGTGTTATAAGAGCAGTAAAGGAAAAAGGTGGGCTCTACCTGTTCATTATTAAGGATTGAAGAACCAGAAGCAAAGGCTGCTAGCAGTAAGAGCTGGTGAAAGATGTCCTAAAACAAGAGAAGCTCAGTGGAAGTTACAGAAACAGGAGGCTATAAGTTCTGGGTATGATATGAAGCATGTACAACAGAATCATCATGTAAAGTACAATAGTAGTACCTTTGCTCACTGCCAAAGTAACTTCAGTCCTCATTAAAAAAAATATGACATCTGATTACACAAACTCTGACAATGAGGAGGACTTGAACAAAAATTATGAAAATCAATAGGTCGCTGAATAAATAGATCTACATTGGTACAAACTGTAGTTTATACCTTATATCCATTGCTATAGGTTTTAATTCTGTAATATTTACTGCTATTTATTTTACTTTATTGAAAGACTTTTAATAGTACTTGGGTTTGAAGAAGAAAAAATCAAATTCTTTTGACAAACTGCAGTTTTATTTTACCACCATGAATAGAAGTGAAACTAATTATGTTGTTTTATTATGCAAGTAGTATCAACTATAGATGGGTAATTAGTGGAATTTGCTAATTGATTAATCATTAATCAAATATTCCAAACAAGATGGCTACAAAAAAGCAAAATGATCCATTATTCTGATACGAGATGGCTAAAAAACTCAATGGTAAAAACCGAGTTTTGGTACTCATAATGGACTGAGAATAGATAGTCCATTGTGAAGCTTTGTGCTTAACAACAAACAAACAATGATAATATTTTGATAACTTAGATAATGGGAAACTGTAATTTCAATTAGTTGTACAATTTTATGAGTCTCATAACACTAACTGATAAGCTGAACAAACTTGAATTTATTGAAAATGGTAATGAAAAATAATAATGGAAGTTATGGAAATATAACTGCTAGATAGTTGGAATAATAAAAAACGGTAATAACTTAGAACAGTAGTTGAATACTTTCATGTTTTCTTCTTCAAACCCAACTTAGAACAGTAGTTGATTACTTTCATGTCATTAACCAATTTAATTGTAACTTTGATTAACTGGTTCTATTACATAAAAACGGTAATAACTTAGAACAGTAGTTGATTACTTTCATGTCATTAACCAATTTAATTGTAACTTTGATTAACTGGTTCTATTACATAAAAAACGGTAATAACTTAGAACAGTAGTTGATTACTTTCATGTCATTAACCAATTTAATTGTAACTTTGATTAACTGGTTCTATTACATGACACTTATCTACGTAGCTGTTGCTTAATAATCGTTGGAGACGGCTTGAATAGGTAACGAAGAAAAACTTTAATATAAGTTTAACATAACAGCAAATGGACAAGGTTTTGTCATCATCGGGTATAAGTAATTTACACTGACACGGATATATACACACAGTATTGAACTTAAAGTAGATCACATGACCAGACACT